TAAGGTCAAATATCAATGAATATTATCCCAAAATGTAGTCTTTTGATGGTTTAATGATAGCATCAACATCAGTGGCCTCAAATTCAAGCTAACCTTTTTGTTGAACTAAAGAGCATTTCTCATACATAAACAAGTGCTAAACTGAACAAACAGGATCCAAAAGCTTCTTATTAACTACATTGCCATCAGATTTTTTTCTCACATCCAACTCATTAACATGGCATAACCATAATTAATGTCATTTAGTACCATGCTAATTAACCTCCACCATTACTTGTTTCTTTTAAGATCTCTGGTTAGTAGAAGTGGCAAATGAATGTATTTATCCATAATCTATTTGATTGATGAATGGGTAAATCTATCCAATTTTTTATTACAATAAAAATAAATAATAAATTGGATCTAATCCATTCATTTAATTTTATGGATACTTTGTGATTCATCCATTATTTTTTTCAAAATTCATTGAATTACGATATGAGATATTTACTGAATTCAGATTTTAAAAAGACTATTTTGACACAAATAAAAGGTCTCGTAAATTTTAAAAGATTATATAAGAATGTAATGATTTATAAAAAAAAAAAGATAGAAATAAAATATTTTAAAAATAAAAATGATTTAATTTTAAAACAATATTTTTATGGATGGATCAAATATCCATTCATGAAAAAATTGTTAATAGATGAATTAGATGAATTTTTTGCTTTAAATTAATTGAATAAATTAAATTTTTATTTAAAATTTTAATAGAGCTAAATAGATTATTTTTATCCGATCCATTATAATTAATCTAAAAAATCACCCGATACATTCATTTGTCACCCATTAGAATAAACAATGATGAATTTGATATGCTATGATTAACCATTAATGAATCTACCTTAGCTAATATGAACATATCACTTGTTTTGTCTTCTGCCTTCCCAACATGTAAAAAAAATTTCAGTCGAAGAGACCAACACTTCCTTTAGAAATACAAGGAGTTGGTAGGTTCAAAACATGACTAATCCCAAGACAATTGGCATAAGATACTCCAAAACCCTTACATTTTTGGGACCTTTGCACATGATACAAATTTAAAGTAGAGGAACTTGAAGATGATAAAGGCTTAGCTGCTGAATGCTGACTAGTTAAACTCATTCTCCTTTGACATGGCACTGAACCAGTTGAGTTGCTCCTTGACAAAGGAGGTGAATAACACGTCAAGCTTTTCTTTGCATCATAATTAAGGCTTTTGATTTTACTATGAACCCCGCAAAAAGAGGTGGAGTGAGTTTTCGTATCACAATAATCACCACAATTGGTGATTTGCTTGTTGAACAAAAGAACACCCCCGGGGTCCCATTGCTTGAATTGTAAGGACATTTTAGTATGAGAAAAATAGAAATTCCCTCTAAGAGTCTCTGCCATAAGCAGTAAGTCTACGAATTTAGATTTAGAAAGTGCATCCTGGTTTTTCTGTAAGGGATTCTTAGCAATTTCAAAAGCTGCCTTGAGTATCTTCGTCATTGTTGTATCATCAATGTCCTCAACGAGATGTTCAAACACAATTCCCTACCAGCATTATTATATCACCACAGTTCCATGAGAAGGTCCTGATTTTCTTCCATAATTCAATACTGTGATGGCTTTGGCAACTACATTAAAGGACTCTGAATATAGCTCTTTGAAAATATTCCAGGTTGAATCTGAACCTAAACTTCATCTCAAACAAATAGATGAACGTTCTGTAAAAAGCACAAACACTAATGGCATGAACTCTGCCACCCCAGAATTTGCCACGAAAACTAATCCCTTGCTACTATTGAAGACTTGACTAGCTAGATTGAAGCAATTCATCGAAGTGCAATAACACCAATATCTCCTAAAAAAAACGGGATGATTCAGACATAATTCAAAAAAATTTCAATAGCTGTAATCGATAACACACGTGTTGAATTAACAATAAGCAAAAAATTAAAGAAATTATTACAGAAATTTTATTGCAAATTTAAAATTCAGATAATTTTTGTGCAAATTCTATTAATAATTCTTCAACTTTCAAATGTTTACAATGAATTCATCTAAAGCATTAAGAAATTTGTTTCTGCACCTCTAACATATAAGGTGAGTGTTGTCCTAACTTATATACTCTTTAATTATTTTATTTTCAATTGACGTGGGACTTGAAAATTTCTTTAAATATTAATTAGATCATGTCATTAGAAGGAAGATTAATTCATTATATTGAACTACCAAATTATATTATTATAAATTATTTTAACTCTTAAAATATTCAATATTTTAAAAAAGAATATTTTTTTTATTAAATAATTTTATTTTAAAAATTATCATTAAATTATAACTCATTATCATTAATTTATACATTTAATTAAAATAAACATTTAATTTATCAATATTTTAAATTAAAATTAATTTTTATGAAATATTTATAAATAATTTAGTAAAATAATATTTTATTAAATAAATACTTTTAATTTTAAAATTTTATAAATTATCATTAAATTAAAACTCATTCTCAATAATTTATCATATTTATAAAGTTTTATATATTTAATTTAATTAAAATTAAAATTAATTATAAGGATATATTTATAAATAATTTAGTAAAATAACATTTTTTAATTAAATTTTTTTTAATTATTAAACTTATAAATTTAAAAAAAAATTAACTTTTCCTGTGGATTAAAATTGGCAAGAAAATCCACAGGAAAAGTTACCTATGAAAATTTTCTATCATTTAGTAAACATTATTTGTGAATTTATTTTTACAAGAAACAAAATAAAATTCTTATAACATTTTTTATAAATTTTTATCATGAAAAAAATTTCTATGATCATTAAAATTATAGAAAAATTTACAAAAATTTATTGTAATGTTAATTAAGTATATTAAAGTCGATGTTCAAAATTTCAACTAATATTTTTATTTTATTATTATAATAAATATTATTAGTGTTGTTTTCCATATCATAATTTTAAAAAGATTTTTCAACCACATTTAATTTTATAGATTCATGTAAAAAGTGATCAAGCTAAAACACATTAAAAAGAATAACATTTAACTGAATAAAAACTTAATTAAATAAAAATAAAAAATTAAATAGAGTAAAGTCACTTATATCAAACTCCAACAATGGATGAATCTTTCCGATCTCTATAAAATATACTAAATGTGCAGTATTTATTTTGTGGGTTGAAGTCTAATTTATAACATTCTGAATGGCTTCTCGTGTGACCTGTTCTAAATGATTCTTATTGATAATCTTTTCTTTATAATTCTTCTTATTTTTGAATAGTTTCTTCTTCTTTCATGTATTTCTTTCATGTGTCAAGAGTACTAACAAAAACATTAAAATACCTAAAATTTAAAGAATTCTACTACTAAAATAATTAAAACTAATTTTTGATACTTATTTTTGACGAATACATGACTTAAAAGTATAAAATATATTTGATAATTGTGTAAAATTAAAAGATATTCATATATTTTACTTACCATTATCAACCACCACCTCCTGAGCTTAGTACAACTCTCGCATAAAGTTGATTTTAATATTAAGATTACTCTTCTTCTCTGCACTAGCTCTTAGATCATGAGACTATCTTAAGATCAATAATGTTTAATGTTTAAAAAAAACCATCCTGGGAATAAAATAGCAATATCTAAGATCAATAATCATTAACCACAACAAAAGGCAAAATAAATAATTTTTGGTTATAGGATCAAAAGGCTCATTATTTAGGGGGAAAATATGCATGTCTTAGGTTTATAACAAAATAGTAAGGGAGCAGTTTCCTGAGGAAAATCAAAGTTGTTTCCAACGATACCAAAAATCTTCGGCAGCTACTATGGAGACATACACTATAGTGCAGCAATAAGAAGCAGTAGCAACAAGAAGAAGCAGAAACATCGATCAAGAGGATTTGTGAAGATAAATGAAAATAAAGGGATGTTTCAGGAATGAAAGTTGTGCTGACAAAGGAAAAGTTCAAAGGGCTGATACTTCAACTCAATGAGAAAGGAGAAATGAGGATAGAGCAAATGCTGGCAGAGAGAAGTTTGAGGGATGGAAGCTTTCTTTGGAAAGGATCTTCTTGGAGGCTCCTGAACATGTTTTTGGTATAGTGCCTATAGCTTAAAGTCAAAACAATTAATCCATCAGAAGCCTAAAACAATGTTTAGATTTTGAACCTTCTAACTTTGCAGAAAGAAGCTCGTGACTTCAGGAATCAGATTCACTTATTTTAAAAGTAATTTTTTTTCTTTTAAAATTACTCTACTCAATAATTTATATTTTACATTAAATTTCAAATTACCAAATTAAATGTTTTTTAATAAATAGACAAAGTTTACAAAATTTTATATAAATCATCCAATAATTTGTTATATAAATTTAAATTAATAGGATAAACAAATTTTATTAGCACTGGAAAATAATAAAATTATTAGAAAGAATTAACCAACATACCAATGTTAATTTAATGTAATTCAAGTAACTTGTGGGCTTAATATATATTGACCTTTATTTGTGTGTTTGAAGGTAGTGTAAATATTCTAGAGGAACCACTTTCTTTCTGGTTATCCAATAATTATATACGGTGGTATATATACTTGATATGTATAATATAAATTGCAATAAAAATTATGACAAATAATTAAATGTTGAACAATGAAATAGTATGATTAGATAGAGACCAACAAAATATAATTGACAAATTTCCACTTAGCTGATGAAATATGACTTCATTTCAAATGGTTCTTTGCTTGCAACATTATTGATATTGCTTAGATATGAATTGAAAGTTTGAAGTGATAACAAATTATCCAATGAGAAGAACACACAAAAATTTATCATAATGAGAAAGAGGACAAACGTGGAATCAAAAACTCAAACAAACAAGGTAAGTTGGCCTTGTAGAAATTAATACAATCAAGTAAATATTCTGAAAGCAATAGAAAATCATTTAAATAACATAAATTGGATAAAAACAAACTAGTTGTTCTTTGGATAATGATAGCTGAGGATTGTATAACAAGTCTGGATAACAGTGAGAAGAGTTAACAATGCTGCAGCAAAGTTGTAACCACGCCTTAAAAACTTGTTCAGACCGTAAAGCCATTCTGAAAATTGACTCAAATAATGCCACAAAATTATTGGGAACTGAAGGACAGGATTTGTTGCGGAATAGGTGTTGAGGGCATGAATGATGTTGCTGTAAGTTGAATGAACAAGGCCACCGTCAACTCCGGTTTTGATGGAACGAAAAAGATCCATGAGATGGTGATTACTTATACCCAACTTATCCTCGATGATTCCCTTGTTTTTAAGCAGTTGAACGTCGCTTGCACAGCACATCAAAACATTGAAGAGCAACGCCCGCAAAGTAAACACGTCTCTATCAACACTCTTTTTCCACCTCTTTGTGTGAAGCTCCAAAGCAATAAAATTCAGCCACTTTGCTAACATGGTTTGAGTGATATGCAAGGGAGGAACTTCTAGCACCCCCTTGCTGCTGTTGAATTTTGGAATAATAGAATTGTCTTCACTTTTGACTATAGTAACCCCAGCGGCTAGGAGCCTAGTGGCACAACATTTGGGTTCTATTTGTTTATTAAGATTATCATCATGAATATCAACAACATATGAACCCTGGTGGCTTTGGTGATTGAGAATGAAGGAGTGAACAAGTTGAAGAATGTGAGAGGCATTAATGAGATCGGGAATAAAGTCAGAGATTGAATTAGGAATAGAGGTAGAGCTTGAATCCCGAGAGTAACCAAAAAGAGAGAGAGCCAAATGTTGTGTAAGACCAATGTAATTCCTAATATCGGTATAGAGACGGGGAAAAAGTTGGTGAAACAAGTTACCGAGAACGGAAAAGGGTATCTGATTTTCAAATAAGGTGAGATCGCTCAAGATGAGTTCCATATTTCCAAGTTGAGCTGCTGGGCTAGGAGGGAGTGGGTTCTCATCGAATAATTGAAGCCTTGAATTTCCATTCCACTGATCGAGAAATGAGAAGCTCCAAGAGAAAGCAAGCGTTAGATCGTAGCTGTTGAATTTGATTTCTTCCCCGTAGCTTGCGCGAACTACTGCGTCTAAATCCAACATGAGTCTCATACCGTTCTCTATAGGATCTATATATTTTTGATCTGTTATTTCCATGAGATCATGGTATGGTATTCTATTTAAAAGGTGCAGCATGCAACGCAACTTGATCTCTTCCATTGGTAGAAGTTCCCTTCTTCCCTTGAACCGAGGTCCGATGGACACCACCTTTGGCTCGTAAGCTTTCTCGTTGCATATGCGAAGTTCCTCCCCAACTATGGGAATACTGTACGGTTGATATATTTCTCCGTCTACGGCATCTAACAAAGCCCCTGTTGCAATCCAGCATTTTTGGAAATCGTTCATGGCCTGCAAGTAAGGAAGAACAGAATGAATGAGTGAGTATTAGAGCTCTGATATAGACACACAGTTATTTGAGGAAACAATCACTGCCCTTTCTTAGAACCATGAGGCCACGAGCTTACACCAAAGTCAATATATACTGTAACACTACAAACTATTTCATTACACCCATTCAAGACTTTAGGTAGATAAATTCCATACTTCTATATAAATATTTGGTGTTGATGAATTATTAGGTAGTTAATAACATCAATAATTAACTCCAAACGTATAGTTCAGCGGTAGAGGTTGATCTACGCTTAAGCAATATCAGGATTTTGAATCCTGTCTTGTGTATGCAGCCGCGTTAAATCTTGGGACCAGCTATCCCACCCTTTGAGGTGTCTCTAACGTAGCGAGAAAATTAGTCACCGCTATCAGCGGTGGATACTCTAAAGACGAAAAAAAAAAAATAACATCAACAATTTATGTATCAATCGATCACATGTGTATTTTTTTTTTTAATTTGGGGATTTTTATTTGCTCTTTATTATTTTATATAAATCGGATGCAGTTCTATTTAGGCAATAGTTGACTCGCTTTTAATTTGTTACGCTTGTCTTTTGTTTTTTTTTTTTACTGGAGCGACTGAATTTAACATATTTTCTAAAATGTTTTAGAAAATTAAACTCGTTAATTTTTATATAAAAAATAGTTTAAAAAATGGACCAAAAGTATATTTTAATTTTTTTTAACTTAAGTTAAATGACATGTATACTTAAGATAGGTGAGACGTGAGAGAAGTTCTAGTTGGGTCGTTCTGCACCCACCTCTTGGACTTATTACACTCTGCTTTGCATAAAATTAATTTAACTATTATGAATGTTGAGGACGAATTGTTGATATTATGATTGTTGAGGATGAGAAATTATGGATTGTGAGAAGTTTTTCATTGGAAAATTGTGGTTTGAATTATGAGATTTAGGATTTGTAATGTCGAATTTGGATCCGAGAGGAAAAAAATGATGGCAAGGGTGAGAGTCTGGGTGTGATGAGAAGAGTGCATTCTAAATGACAGTAAGAACTATGTTTTAAAGGTTATAAAATATTAAACATGAAACAACTAAAAAAAAATACAAGATCAAAAATGAAAAAACAGTAAACTATATGGACCCAAATTATATTTATCTTCTTTTTTTTTTAACTGAATGACCTCAATTGAATTAAATGACATGTATTAAGTTAAATGATCTCAATTAAGATAAGTGAGAGAAGAGATTCATTCTAGTTGGGCCGTTCTGCCCACCTCCTAGTTTATTACACTCTATTTTGCATAAAATTGATTTAACTATTGGGATCTGTCTTGTTTTGCTGTGCGCTTGCCCTTCAGTTCAAGACACCCTATCTAATTATTACTCCTGGTTTTTTTTTTATTAATAGTCATTTTATCATATTTTGTTATTTTTTTTATTATTATTTTTTAAAATTAATAATTTATTAATTTTTTTATTTTTCTGGTGCTTCTTGTTGGCCCAGTTAGAGATTTTCCAGAAGAATGAGTTCTCATACTGATATTTTTGTACCACAGTCTGAAAAGCCTTCTTTGGATAATAGAATAATTAATTTATGTTCATTAAATAATATATTTATTCATTTTTTAATATATTTTTTTTTCTAATCATCTAAAAAAAAGTATAACAGAAAAATAAGTTTAATTAAAAATAAAAGGCCACCCTGTCAATAAACTAGCTATGTCTAAGATCATGATAATTATTGAACCACACCAAAAGGCACAATAAATCATTGAACTCGATCACATTTGCTACATACTTAAAAACAAATCTCAGTTCTCTCTCAAAATAAATTCTCAAAAATTTGAACCACGAAACAGAAACCTTACAATTTGGCAAAGCTTGATCGGAATCAAAAGAGAAGATAGAGACTACCTTGTCAAAGTTGTACACTGTCAAAAACCTCACCCCGTCAAGTTAACGATTCAGCCTCAAAACCCAGTGGATACCTATTCCATAAAGAACGTATGCAGCAGTGAGTTGGTTGCTTCTAAATGAACAGGTTCACTGGAAGCAGGATAGAAAGATAGAGTCTTTGAAGGGGTAGACTTATTAACTTGGAAAATGTGTAATGATTTAATATATTTTGCAAGAGAATAAAAATAACAACATGTTGATAGATTAATATTTAATATATTTTGGTTTTAAATCAAGTCACAACGAAAGAGATTAAAAGGGGATTGGTCCCACACGCACGGGCTCTCAGCTTCCTGCATTAGTTCCCTTCCCACACCATTTTTCCACCTTCAAGAGAAAAAACAACATCCTAACATTCTCTTCCTAAAAACGTGGCTTCTGTGATAATTGCAAAAATCTAGAGATAAAAATGGATCAATATGTTTCAATTATTTTTTTTTTATTGTTATTTTGTGTATTTCTTCTCTACCAAGTGTGCCTCTTTCGTTGTTAATAATATAATCAATTTCTAATGCAGAGGGGTAGAACTTAGTTAGGACTTAGGATTTAGGTCCTTTCCAAATATTTATGCATATGATAGACGCGTTTTTTTTTTTATTTTCTCAGAAAGAAAAACTCTGCCCCAATTGATGTGTGTTTTTGATTTCTATTGTAAGAAAAAATGTTATTTTTTTTCCTATGTAAATTAATAATAATTAGAAGTTCTTTTATTTTTTTAATTCTCTTTTAGTGTCTCTAAAAAATTATAAAAGAATTGTAGTAATTTTTTAATTTCTAATTTTTAAACTAACAAAATTCCAGTCTTGCATAAATGTTTTTTTAAATTTTAATTATCTTTTCTTAATTTAATCTATTCTAATTTAGATGAAATTATAATATTAAAATAAGTTAAATACTTAAATATTCAATATTTATATAATTTCTTTATATTAATACAAAATTATAAATAAAAAATATTTGATAATATTTAATTTATTATTTTAATATTTTCATGTTATACTGCCCTTTGTGAAATTACTTATTATTTTATAATTTTATATTTTTTTGTGTTTCATGAGGTGATTGAATTTATTTAAAATCGATATACTTTTTTTTATAGAAGCATAAAAATTATATTTTTATAATGTCAACACTAAATACTTCTAAGTTTGATTGTAATGTCAATTCTAAAATTTCTAGTAAGTTCATTCTATTGTTGTTATACAAGATGATCAAGCTCGTCTTTGGTGTTATATTAGCATATTAGATATAAAAAAAATCAAGAGGGAGGGAAATATAAGAACCGATCTTGTAATTTTTGTCATAACATTTTTAAAAGTTTTTATTCGAGAGTTAAATTAAGCTCATTTGTTAAGGAACTAAAATTTTTGTGTGTGCAAGTGTAAATGATCAATATTTTGTTGAATTGAAATCATTTGTTGAAAATTGGTTAAAAATATAGTGAAACTTAAGCATGTCTTATTGCCAGCAAAGCAAATTCGTCAGAGTTCTTTATTGAAAAAGGAAAAAGTTGGTACTTTGGAGAAAACATTTAATTTAGAAGATAAGGATAATCTCAACATTGCTAGAATGATTTGTTCTTCTAAATTGCTTTTCAACCTCGCCAAAAATCCCTATTATGTGAATTCTTATTCATTTGTTGCAAATCATATGCTTAATGGTTTTCTCCCTCCTGGATACAATGCCTCAAGGACAACTCTCTTACATCAAGAGAAGGCACAAGTTGAGAGGTTACTTAAACCTATTAAATCAACTTGGAATGTAAAAGGTATTAGCATAGTATCTGATGGATGGACAGATGTCCAAAGAAGGCCTTTAATTAATTTTATGATTGCAAGTTAAAGGGGTCCAATATTTTTAAAAGCTATTAATGTTTATGACGAGATTAAAAACAAACACTATATGGCTGATAGGATGATAGAAGTTATAAAAAAAGTAGGAAAACAAAATGTTGTTCAAGTTATAATAGATAATGTTCCTGTATGCAAAGGTGTAGGAATGGTTAATGAAATTTCTTTTCCTAAATTTTTTTGAACTCCTTGTGTTATTCACACATTGAACCTTGCATTGAAGAATATATGTGTTTCCAAAAGGAATGAGGTAGTTTATGCTGATCAATGTAATTGGATTACTCAAGTTGTTGATGATGTTTATTTTGTTAGGAACTTTATCATGAATCACTCAATGAAATTGAAATTTTTAGTCACTTCTTACCTATAAAATTGTTTGATATAGCTAAAACATGTTTTTCATCTATTCTAGTGATGTTAAAGAGATTTAAACTTTTGAAAGGTACTTTGCAATCGATGTTTATTAGTGAAGAATGAAACTCTTATAGAGAAGATGATGTGGGTAAAGGCTCAAGTTGCAAAAGAATTTATTTTGAATGATGTGTTGTGGGACAAAATCTTAATTTCATTAAGCTTATTTATAATATGCTTAGGGCTTGTGACACAGATAATCCCACACTTCATTTGGTCTATGAGATGTGGGATACTATGATAGAAAAAGTAAAGTTATACATCAACATTTTATGAAGTTTTTTATTTTATACTAATTGATAGGTAAATTAAGAATTGCACCCCTTTCCACTACATGGCTCACTCTTTGAATCTTAGGTAAAATTAGCCTATCAAATATTTAAATTTTTTTATATAAAAAATAGATAGTTACTATATTTTTTATCTATTAACTTTCTTATTTATTCACAGGTACTATAATGATGAATGACTTTAAGAGGCTCCTGTTGAGATTCACAAGCTGTTGAATTAATTTCTAACTGTTTTGATGATTACAAAAAGGAAGCATGAATATCATGAAATGTTTTAAGTGAAAAGTTGTAATAGTGTAGTTCATATGTAGTAGTTGCTTGATTATTTTGTCTTATGCATGTTTATGTTAGTTTATGTTTTATGCATGCGTCAAATCATTATCTTGATTGACTTGAAAATAGTATGATGATGATAGAGCACAACTTGGAAAGTTTCTAAATGTTTAAAATCGAATTTTGATAATCAACTCAAAATAATTGATTAT